AATGGGGAATTCCACATTGGAGCATTCCACGTTTGGGTATTGCACATTGGGGTGTTCAACATTGGAGCATTCCACGTTTGGGTATTGCACATTGGGGTGTTCAACATTTAGGTATTCAACATTGGAGCATTCTACGTTTGGGTATTCCACATTTGAGTATTGCACATTGGGGTGTTACACATTTGGATATTGCACATTGGAGCATCCCACATTTGGGTATTCCCGTTTGGGTGTTGCACGCTTGGGGTTTCCACGTTTGGGTATTTCACATTTGGGTATTGCACATTTTGGTGTTCCACATTTGGGTATCCCACATTGGGATATTCCACAAAGTGGTATTCCAAATTTGGGTTTTCCACATTAGGGTATTCCACATTGGGTATGCCATATTGGGATATTCCACATTTAGGTATTCCACATTAGGGTATTCCACATTGGGTGTGCCATATTGGGGTATTCCACATTTGAATGTGCCACATTTGGATATTTCATGAAGTGATATTCCACATTTGGGTATTCCACAGTAGGGTATTTCACATTTTAGTTGTCCACGTCGGGCATGTCATACTGGGGATTCAACATCTGGGGACGCCACATTTGGGCACTGTACCTAAATTAATAGTGTCAGTTAGTAATCTTGATCTTTGAAACACTTTTCAGTAACTTATTGTTAAAAAATGATAACCCTCGATCTCCAATTTATTTTGATTACACATTTTTATAGTTTGCTAGATAAATATTTCAAAACGGACTTTTGCTAGCTCATGGTTTCCCCACTTTGTCTACAGAGCACACGATAATCCGTTTGCCATTGATTGCATTTTGTAAACCATGAGAATTAAGGGGCCACCGGAGAGGAATAGGTCGTACATATACTATGACCACAATACAATTTGATCATCAATTGAATTAGCTTGTTGGCTTGTTAAAGATTAAATGTATACAATTACATTTTAGGATGACGTATAAAACAGCTGTAAGAACATTTATTTGTATCTCATAAAGACTTTCCAATAATTTGTTATGGGGATGAATTATGAAGTATTATTGAGTCTACTGTATTATTAATTGAAAGTAATCCATCTTTATAATGGTACATAGCGGAGTGTAATATAGCAGATCGTATAAGGACAAATCAAAGGTTGCATTTCTAAGTTCATGAAAACAATTACCCGATATGTCACGCCTTTTTCTGTCTGCGGTATAACAAAATAGCTTTAGTCATTCACGGAAAAGTTGATTTTTTAGTTTTTTACACGAATCAAGACTTTTTTAGACTCAGATGATTCAGCTATTGGCCATATTGAGACTCACAGAAAAACCAAAACCAAATGATTAAAGGAATTTCGAGCGATAGGAAAGCCCAAATAAATACAATGTAGTTTGATTACTTTCTTGGACGAGACCAAATGCCATTGTCATATTCATATTTTTAATCATTTTATCGTCTCTGTAGCACTGCGTGCACGCATTTTGGGAGAACTCGAACGTAACGTGTACTATTATGACACTAGAAATTGTTCAATTTGTTCAAACGAAGACCTCAATAATAACTATTTTCCTCACACCTTCTTTCTCAATGGAGTAAATGAAGGCCTGTCAGGTGAAATAACCTCTCTATTAATTTGGAGAGTCGCCAGCATAATCTTGATAATTGAGAAGCGAATAACAAGATAAAATTGTGTACCTGTTTTTTTTGTACTTTTGTTATAACACACAGTTACTCATAATTTCGTGACATTTTCAATTTAAACAAAACATTAGATCGGTGGCTTTATTTGGATTGATACATCCCACTTGGACATGGAAATCCAATCTATTTGTGTAAAGTTTGATCGATCGTGAAAGATACGACGCCTAAAAATACATAAATACGTGTAAAAATCGTTATTTAGAGTAATTAAAAGGCCGCTTCAATTAAAGAATAATTAATCAATTGAGCTTCTATTGCTCGACTTTCCGGGTCGCATAATAGAGTTTGTTTATCGAAAAATATTATGTTTTCAAAGAAATGTCATGGATCACTCCCAGGAAATTATATGTAGCAGTGTACCTGTAGAGACAATGTATCGTGCTAGTATTTCTATCTACTTCACCTAATTATTTCATAAAGTCATTTCCTTTACATATCATACTTAAAAGCACCAAGCGAAGATATATTCTTTTGAGAGTCATTCAGTGTAAAAATAAAACTGGGACAACGCCAGATTGATATTTTATTCATTTATTTGAATACTTGTTATCATTACTTTTTTGTTACGTCATATCAATGTCAAAGGAAGTAACATATTCGGAGTGAAACTTACACGCTTCTTGTACATTAATAGATTTACTGAAATGTATCTTATATTGCTTTAAATGTTTGCTTCACTGACCCCACGACTATTATCTATCTTTGCCTATATGGTTTTTTGCCAACAATATTCTACAAACAGCTTGATGAATCAATTCTATCTCTGGTAGAATACTAGAAATAAATGTAAAATGTATTTTACGTTCAGAAATATGGAATTAAACCAACGTCCTCGATTTGCAACTTAACTGTACCCTCTTTCCCTTTTAAACGAGGTCACGTGGTAGGGTAGTGTGAAAACAGTGACAGACACATGAAAAATGTGTATTCCATAACCTACGGTTCTCGGTACATAACTAGGGGGAATATATTGTGTATCTAGGGAGCGATATCCAAGGCCCGAACCGGGATAGATACAGTATTCATCCTGTCCTGCTTCCGAAAAGCGAATAAAGATATATTCAAACTTTTGTTAATCTTGATAACATAACAATTCATTGTGAAAATCTCACGACGTGAAAAACTTATTTTTCAAGACTGAGTAAATGTGTACCTTAACTATGAAAGTTGATGGAGTGGACATTTGAAAGGTCGTATATTTGAATTTTTAATAGTTTTTTAAATGGTCATAATTATGTACTGTTGTGTTGCTGATACCACAATTTTTGCTGTTATGAACATTTACATTATGAATGAAAATAGAAACCGATTGTCAAAATACATTTTGATTAAAAAGCATGATTGATTTCCTAAGTTTAACCCTTGGTGATGAAAGGGTTAATATCTAATTTTGCATTCAACCAAAATTCAAATAGAGGTTAGATTCTTAAAACTGACACTCAGCTTTCCAACAGTGTATTGGAACCTTGGTGCAGAAGAGTTACTTAATTTAGAATCACCAAGGAGAGCACTTCGAGACTCTATTTTGCTCAAGTAATAACTGTATTTGGACATATCTTTTTTTGAGTGTTCTGTAAAAGAGTGAAGAAATGACATTGCACTATTAAATGATCTATTCTATAAAGTTATAGCATTGATAGGGATTTCATTGTGGCTTTTCTAAGCAAGGCTCATGTTTGGCCATTATTTGAAAAAAAGTCTGAGGTTTTTGAGGCCTTGCGTTTTTCGAGGTTTTTGCGGCCTATTTACAAATGTTTAATACGATAGACTATTAGTTGTTTTTACATTCTTCTTACCCTACTATCACACCAAACTAGTTCTCACTACGTTCTCGAAAACGGGCTTCAACTGTGTACGAACGGACTGGACGTACTAAGAACCGTTTGGGATCTATTTACAAACTTCATCGAACGTACTCGAACGGGTAGGTCCTCTAGAACTTAGACAATGCTCAAAATGTTCTCGTGGTCGTCACGTTCTACAATTAGAACGAGTGACAACGTACTAACGACGAGCTGGACGTACTACGAACGGAACCGTCGTACTTCAATCCTACTAGGGACGTTTTAACAACGAGTTGAACTGTCTGAAGACGTGTTGAGAACGAGGTAGAACTCATTGCAAACGGGTTTAAACTGACACTGCTTATGAACGAGTTAGCAAAAATATAGCTATCACACCAAACAAGTTGCCACTGCGTTCTTCAAAACTGGTTCTAAACTATGTGCGAACGGTATGAACGTAGCTGCAACTTTCTAAGGTCTATTTACGAACTTTATGAACGTTCTCAGACGGGAATGTGATTTTAGAATTTTGAATCGATTCAAAATTCGATTGCGACCATACCGTTCTGTTATCAGGTCATGATGACCTTCTAGACTAAGGGACGCGTTCTACGGCGTTGCACACCGACGTGGTGCGACCTGAACGAACTGCGAACGAGGTGGACGTATTGAAGACTGTTTAAGAACGAAGAAGCTAATTATTTCAGACATATTTCCCGACCACAGCCAGATCGAGCCCGTTTTACGACGTTTTCGTAGGACTGGCAAGAACGGGTAAGAACGAGTTTGGTGTGATAGGGGGGTTACTTACACTCTAAGCTTTCGAGAAACGAGCAGACTGATAATATATCAATAGAACAAAAATGTTTTGTTATTGGTATAGTAACCCATTCTGACAATGAACCCCGGGTTCGCCTGAGTGTGATAGTACATGCACTGAAAGAATGATACAGAAATCTTTATTCTGAAAATAGATCGAGACTATAGTCGTTCATTGTATATTCTTTCCCATTATAGTATCATCAAAGACATGACGTTGCTCAACATATTGCTACCCGGTTGGTCATTCTACTGGTTAACAATGCAACATTGATCCAACGCAGTTGAAAGATCACATAAGCCAAACGCTCTTAATCCATTAATATCGATCTGGAATTAATTGAAGAAAATCAATGTTACATCATAACAAATGGTTCCACCTCTTTCTGTTTCAGCACTTTGTATGTGATCAAATTCAATATTTGTTAATAAATCAATGTTTTGTTCCCCATGGACCTGAGCGAGGACCTATTTTTCCAGAGACTTAGAAACGTTGATCATAAACGATTAACAAAATACAAAGCGAATTATTGATATTGGCCAGGTGAAGTATTTAAGAAAGGATCTGTTTAAATACAGTTGAATTAATAGTTGTTGCCCGATCTTCATCGTACTGGATTATATCTTACATGGTAAATTACCTTACATTTAATGGATATATATCTACAATCATAACGTACCTGATTATTGCTTATGTATAAAATCTGGAGGGCATCATTACTCCCAACTTAAATCTTTAATATCCACTAAATACGGGAGTAGAATTCAAATATTGGATATCGCAGAAGTTTACTCGCAACGTATGACTAAATAGATATGCTTCTTTGGACAAAAAAGTAATAGATGATCGGGAATTCAGTTCATGCCTCAATATTTTATCTTGCACACGTTTCAGTATTTTCCACAAGAGGGACATAAAGTATCTTCAAGCTGTTGAAGTGTTCTTATCTTCTTAGTCAGGGGTCGGTAAGTTGTAAGTATCAATTGGTTACTAAGCGCAACACTAATATTTTCAGATCTGTAGTTTCTCGCAACTATGATATTACAAATGATTATTGAAAGTTCAACTTGATATACTGAATATGTACAGAAAGAGAAAAAGTATAATTTATTACGATTTTTTCTTCAGTGAAGTATCTTATTTCAAAATACATACCTAGAATACATGCTGTGTAGCAATTGACTATTTGATCTTACGTTGTACTCTAGGGGCGAGGAGGGAAATTCTCAATAAATGGAGTATAGTTGGTTTGGCAGCATTTTCAGTTAGGGAAGAGTCTTTGATGAAATTTCCACCTAGGTGATAGCTTCACAGAGTGGTAGGAAGTTCTTTTTTTGAAGAGTTAGCCCCCTACCCCACAAAAACACCCCACCCCGGGGAAAAAAATTGTTCACACTTAATAACCTTAGATATTTTGATGTTTGTAAGTGACATACATAGATATTATATATATGAATCATTTGCAGTATAATTGATGCTGATTACTCCTAAAAAAATTGAATATTAGTACAAAGTGTGTACCCCAGAGGGCAAATTCGTGACCCATTTTCTTACTATTTTGATCCTAACTTTTCAACTAGACAATGTAAGAGGTTGAAAAAATTCATGTGAAGTGCCCAATAGCAGGGTTAGTAACCCTGAAAGATGCAAAGCCATGGAAGAGGTAGGAGCTGAGAAAAAAATTGTTGATTTTTCGAAAAAAATTGACATTTTTGACAGCTGGATTTTGTGTATGACTATAGCTGACCCCTATAGTTCCTGGATCCATCCCTCTATGATGATATATATGGTTTTATAGTGTGGAACTAAGATGTAAAACATAATTAAGATGGGTTTTAAGGAAGTTTAAGGTTTTAAGCAAGTCCAAAATTTGAAAAATTGTAAATATAAGGTTTCAAATTTACGAATTCCAGGTAGAGCCATGGCAGACCCCTATAGTTTCTAGATCCATCCCTCTATGGTGATACTCATGGTATTGCTGTATGGAACTAATATGTAAAACACAATTTAGATGGGTTTTAAGGAAGTTTAAGGTTTTAAACAAGTTCAAAATTTGAAAAATTGTAAATATAAGGTTTTAAATTTACGAATTTCAGGTATAGCCATGGCTGACCCTTATGGTTTTTACATCCATACCTCTATGATTAAATATACAGTTTTAGAGTGTGGGACTAAGATTTAACATACCCAAAATGAATTTTAAGAAAGTTTAAGGTTTTAAACAAGTCAAAAATTTGAAGAATTGTAAATGTATGTTTTCAAATTTATGAATTTCAGGTATAGCCAAAGATGACCCTTATGGTTTTTTACATCTATACCTCAGTGATGAGATATATATTTTTAGAGTATTTTACTAAAATGTAAAAGATGCATAGGATGAGTTTGAAGGAAGTTCAAGGTTTTAAACAAGTGCAAGAAAAATTGATCCCGAAAATTGGTCTCAAATTCACGTTATTCAGGTGCCTTGAATGAGCCCTGATAATTGAAGGTTATGAGCATAATGGTAACAACTGTGATATCATGGCTTAGAGACCAGGTGTAGAATATATACCTGTTGCAGCAGTTAGTCTGCTGCATATAGATGGAGTGAAAAGTCATGAACTACAGTAAAATCTTTCTAATCTGAATGCTACTAGATATAGTATTTGGACCAGCTAAAAGCGTTCAAATTAGAAGTGTTTGAATTTTGAGGTTTTTACATCTGCAATATTCTGGATTTTGAAGAAATATGAATGCATTCTCAATGAAAAATATTAATAAATATTAATAATATTTATACTGACCATCCAAAAAGCTTAATAGCATTCCAAAATCCAATTCAAAAGTTTTGATATCATAACAATTCAGTGTTAAACTGACAATATTTGAGCAATTTTGTAAGAAATATGTGATATTTGGTAAAAAAAAGTTCAAGTTAAACAGGTTGATTTTTCAAATATGAGTGTTCACTGTTCAAATTAAGAGGTGTTCAGATTTCAATTTTTAAACATAGGAGTCAATGGGAGGAAGGAAAAATTGAACTGGAGAAAAGTGTTCAGATTGGTTGGTTTTCAGATAAGTCAGGTGTTGGGATGATTGGTATGTGTTCACAATAGTCAGATGTTGGGATATACAGGTTTCACTGCTGATATATCATTTATACAAGATGATGAACTAGAACTACTGTACTAGGTGCATTTGATAATTTTTACCACAATGTTATACTATGTCAGGAAAAGAAAGCACCCATGACACTGTGCTTGTACAACTTGAAAATCAACAACACTTTAACATTTGATAAAGGTGTCTACCAAATGAGTAATCCACATAAATTCAAATACAAGCACTTGGCATGCTATTCCCTATGATCATTAGTTTCATTAATTTCTCTAGAATCTAAAATTGACCTTGGGTTTATGAGAGTAGTAAATTTGAATGCAGTTATATGGAATATTGAATTGGCTGGAATTGGACACACCTTGCCTAGAAATGTGTGAGTAAACTATGATCTTATATGGATACAAACAGTTCATTTGACAATGATCATCTATCTTATCCTGTAAAATCAGAACTTAAAAAGGGGTTTCAAATGGAGATCGATGAAACCATACCACAAATTGATAAAAGTTTCATGATTGATGCAATGGCTATGACAAAGGGAAAATGAAGATTAACTTATATGTTGAAATTTGGAAAGTTTTGGAAAGCTATATTTGACTACTCCATCAAATCTAGTAAAGGAGCCCAAAGAATAGATTTCATATTAGACTCCTAGCTAGTTGTCTCCATCAGTAAAGGATTCTGAAAGAATGCGAAGAATGGATGCTTCCCCTATTGAACTTTAATCCATAGAAGAAATTACACCATTACCTAAAAATATGAATACCTTTGTCCAAGTAATATAAGACCAACTTTCAAAGATTACAAAGAAATTCAATAAAGCAGCATTCTAAAAGTGTGCCAAATGTCAAGATTGTTTTAAGTGGAACTATTGGAGAGAACTCAAATATCTGTGAAAATGATAACTGAAATCTCCTGTTAAATTCCACTCCTGAAGAGGCTGATTTTAAAATTATTCACTGTTTTACATTCAGCAGAACATGTGGGACTGCAGTAATTTGCATCAAATGACACTGATATTATAATTTTGTGACTATCATTTCAATGAATGAAAAAGTCAGTATGTAAACATTTTCTACAATGTCTGTTTGTTTGAAACATATTGATCATATCACCATACATGTATATACTTTTTTGATCTACATGAAGATTTTAATGTGACAAGACCCTTTTACCTTTAGAGTTCCTTATATCATTGCACTAACGGAAGTTTCTAGCCCCGGGGGGGGGGGGGTATGATCCTCATAATCCTTATTTTCCCAAATAATTACTGTTGCCCGATGACAAATTTTTTTATTGGGAGTGTAGTGATTATAATTTGATAATTCATAACAACATTTTGTATTAGGAGATGATCATTGCTTAATTACAGTATGGGCATAACAAAATATAGAGAAAACATGTTTCTTTTAATTAACCATGTCTTTATGTATTTTGATAATGCAGAACAGTACATTGAACATGTTGATCTGAAAAAGTAAAAATGCTATATCACATAATAAATATCATCAAATAATAATCAATTAGTTATAATCCATTTAATCAATCAATTACTACACTGTATACGATATCCCTAGGAGCAGTTACACTTACTGGGGGATTCACATGTAACAATACATGTAACATGGATCAAACCTGACCACAATATTTTCAACATCTAATTTCTAAGCTAAGTCATACATTCAAAAAGAGGGACATCCAGGGCTATACCTGAAATCGTAAAGGAGGACTGAAAGTATCGCAACAGATTTCAGCAATCATATGTTGGATTTTGGCTATTTTCTGAGGATTTGAGGAGGTGCATATGTTAGGCCAATGCATTTCCTCCAGGAAAAGCACCCAAAGAGATGATAAAATAATTTCTATTTTGAGACAGAGAAGGTGCAAACAACCCACCCACATGCATAAATATATATGTGTATATGTATAAATATATGTGTTTTTACATACAGTTAACCCCTTTAAATGAAAAATACATTCCATCAGAGATTTTAAAGATATCAAATATGGGTGACCAAAATTAAGCTGAAAGCAATGGATCACATGAGTTTTCCCTATGGGAAAATAACAGGAAAATATTGTTTTCCGCTTTATCTAAAAGAAATTTATCCTTTTAATGGTTAACTATGTCTCAAAACGCAACATATTGATGCAACAAAAATTGAAAAACCAGGGGTGAACGGGCTTGAAAATCAGGACATTTCCCAAAAAACATGTGGGTGGATTGTTTTCACCTTCGCTGTCTCAAATTCCAAACTATTTTATCATCTCTAAGAGTTCTTTTCCCGTAGGTAATGCAATGGCCTATCATATGCACCTGCTTAAATCCTCAGAAAACAGACAAAATCCAACATATGACTGTCTGAAATCTGTTGCGATACTTTCCGTGCTCCTTTGAGACCTGATATTTCTCAATTTTTCAAATATTGCACTTGTTAAAATTCTTAAACTTCCTTTAAATTCATCTTCAGTATGTTTTACATCTTAGTCTCACACTCTAAAAGTATATGTTTCATCATAGAAGTATTGATGAAAAAGCCATAAGGGTCATCCATGGCTATACCTAAAATTCGTAAATTTGAAACCTTATATTTACAATTTTTCAAAGTTTGGACTTGTTTTAAATCATTAACTTCCTTAAAACCCATCTAAATTATGTTTTACATCTTTAGTTCCATACTACAAAACCATAAATATCATCAAAGAGGGATGGATCTAGAAACTATAGGGGTCAGCCATGGCTATAGCTGGAATTCGTAAATTTGAAACCTTACATTTACAATTTTTCGAATTTTGGACTTGTTTAAAACCTATAACTTCCTTAAAACCCATCTAATTTATGTTTTACATCTTAGTTTCACACTATGAAAGCA